CACAGATGCACTGCATGAATATGTGCATGCAGTTTCTATAGCATTCAAAAAAATATATATGTCTCAAGGTCCATACCATCATGACATGGTAAAATAATCGCATCACTGTAAACGAAAAGCAAAATGCAATGTTGTGGTTTTTTATTAAAAAAATGGCCGAGCAAATAGGCCCCTATGCATACCCACTTATTTGTGTGTTGTTGCATACAGATTGGTGACTCGCACTAGGTTAAGAATCTCATTATTTTTTGCCCCTGTGGTTTTTGGTTTACCATCTTGTGTCTAAATGGGTGTTAAGTGTTCATGTTCATGTATGGTTTGATAGAATGTGAATATTGAAGATGGTAATAATTTTATCAATACAATTATTGTCCTGCCATTAATCCAATTATTATTTTTATTGTTATTATCACCTGACACATCAATGATGGTATATATTTGAAACATGTTCCTACAAGTGTTGAAATGCTTAAGGCGAGGCGTCAAAAATATCGATACCAGCAGGCTGCCGCCTCACGTATTGGCGCATCGAGGCTGCAATTACGGCCGAAGCCTGGCTGGGGCAATTATTTTTCACTTATTAGCCCAGCCGGCTTGCGCCAGGCTGGGATCTGAGGCTCGGTTTCCATTCGAAAGGCGGCAGCCGGCGCATGCTTTTGTTCGGAGACCATTATGATGACATCGTGAGTTAATTGAGGGTCCTACCGCCAGCGGTAGCCGGCTGAGCTAATTTAAAAAATGCAGCCAGGACGCACAAGTGCAGTTAGCTGCCGCTGGCTGGTATATTTATTTTTGACGCCTCGCCTAAATAAGTAACTACTTTGCTTAATGTTCAATATAGAATGCAGTTTCATTTGTTTGTTGTCTGTTTTTCTATAAATGAGGAGTTGGAGCATAAAGTAATCACAATAAGGTTAAATGCATATGTTTGTTTGTTTGTTGTTGTGTTTTTTGTTGTTTTTTGTTGTTGTTTTTTTGGGGGGAGGGGGTATAAGTGCAGTTATTTCCTATCATGATTTCGTCTAAGAACATAAGCACATCAGTCATCACTGTCCTCACATCTGTAATTTCATGCTTATAAGGATGTAAGTCTGCATGACATTTCATGTTCTTTTCTTCCTCCTTTTTTGGGGTCTTTTTTTTTTTTTGGTTTCATCTCTCATTTCCCTTTGGGGGGGGGGATGAGGGGGTGGTTTGGGAGTAGAGAGGCAGTTAGGACGCCAGTGGGTTATCCACTGATATCTCTCCTGCCTTACCAACTTACATCATCGGTGCACATTACAGTGTCTGTTTCTCTCAAAGTCAACGTCATATATCGACCTCTTATACCTGCCAGGCAGGCTGTATTTCCTTTCTCTATCATTTCTTTCCAAACCGATGCAAATTTGCAACCACATCAAGTTCAAGTCTCCAAATCGGCCGAGAATATGGGCTAATCGTAGCTGGTGACCGTCTGCTGCATACTCTAACGTTTCAAGCTCTATTACATTACAGTTCCTCGCCTAGTTGGAAATACATAAACAACACTAGGTTTGTGAGGATCTGCTAAAATTCTTGACTGCATCATGCATCTCTCTGCCGGTGCCTTCATCCCAGATGAAATATTCATCCCTAGATGACACTCTGGAGTGAATACTGTGTCCGGATGATGAGATTCATAACCAGTCTCGTCCATCCGGAGCATCGGGTATGATGAGAGATGACGATCATGATGATGAAAGCGAGTGACGCTCGGGTTAGCCAGATGCTCTCAAAGATAATGGAAGATACGTACTGGACTCCTCTTTGAGGTCAAGTTTATTTGTCAGTGCTTCATACAGTGAAGTCCTTGTAAGATGCTATGTCAGGATCACTTGTCCAATGTCCTGATAGGTGTCAGAAGGGCAAGTAATGTCACCTTCCCCATATGGTAAATCAACTTTTAATTCCCACACTGAACCATCAGTGGAACAATTTAGAAATAAACGTTGGACAAAGGAAAAACGATTCAAGACAATCTGCAATGATCACTTTTAAGCTTGTACTCAATACTCCAAACTAAATGAATCAAACAAAACAGAACACATCAAGAGGAAAGAGCAAGAAATCTTATGATTTACTTCCCCGACTACATGCATGCAAAAAGTAAAATGTTTGCTTGCAGTACCCAATCAGCCATCATTGAGCATCTCATTCCTCCTATCCACAGATGACAAACACAGGTATTTGTAATGCTAATATGATATTTCACACATCCGCCAACAAGTCCCGGGTAAGCCATTGAATACGAGGCTGAATACATAACTGGAGGATATGATTACTATCATACATGGGAACATGACTGGATCATATTCCATGATCATAATCAGTATGCTGCTGTTTGGCCTGAGGCTACCAGCTTGAGTTTTGCAATCATCCCAAACTTAAAGTCTTTAAAGGATATCGCTTGTCCAAATTCAGGCAATCAGAGAATGCAGACTCTTCATGAGCACCTTACGATTCGTATCAAATGATAAATCATTAAAGATGACTTGTACAGTGCAGATATAAAATGAAAAATTAATTGGCATTCTGACTGGTACTTAATTTTATTTAGCAAATGAAATAGTAGCTGTTCTGTTCCAACAATGTGTTATCAAGATCTCCATGAGAGAATAGAACAGACTCATGATTGAGATGCAAAATGCAATTTAATTTATCCGCTCCCAATTCTGAAGTACTAAAATTAAACCACGTTAAATTATTTAAGACATTAAAGATGTGTAAGAAATGATTTGAGTTCTTTGAAACAATGTTATAGATTTTATTTCTAAATTATCTTCAAGTCATAAATATGAATAGATTTGTGGAAAAGATTATTTCCAATCAACGCCATGTTAATCACTGCATTTGTTATAGAAAGAGCTGGAATTCAATTAAAATTATGAATTTAAAAAAAATATATAATATTATTTGTTTTTCATGATCATTTTCATTCACTCTGCTTTTGTTTCCTTCTTCCAGTTTCTTCTCAAACTATCTGGAATAGCTTCCTATTCTTACTTCTAATGATTTTATTGTTATTATCTTTTTCTTTAATTCATCCTTTCTCCACCTTAAAAAGCTTCCTCTTGCAAGATGCAAACTTCTTTATCTTCCTTGTGTTCTTCTCTATATCCATTCTGTTGCCTCCCTTATTTCACATCTCCTCTCCTTTCTATTTTTCCATCTCTTCTGTTGCCTCTTCCTTATTTCACATCTCCTCTCCTTTCTATTTCTCCATCTCTTCTGTTGCCTCTCCCTTATTTCACATCTCCTCTCCTTTCTATTTCTCCATCTCTTCTGTTGCCTCTCCCTTATTTCACATCTCCTCTCCTTTCTATTTCTCCATCTCTTCTGTTGCCTCTCCCTTATTTCACATCTCCTCTCCTTTCTATTTCTTCATCTCTTCTGTTGCCTCTCCCTTATTTCACATCTCCTCTCCTTTCTATTTCTCCATCTCTTCTGTTGCCTCTCCCTTATTTCACATCTCCTCTCCTTTCTATTTCTCCATCTCTTCTGTTGCCTCTCCCTTATTTCACATCTCCTCTCCTTTCTATTTCTCCATCTCTTCTGTTGTCTCTACCTTATTTCACATCTCCTCTCCTTTCTATTTCTCCATCTCTTCTGTTGTCTCTCCCTTATTTCACATCTCCTCTCCTTCTTAGTTCTCCATCTCTTCTGTTGTCTCTCCCTTATTTCACATCTCCTCTCCTTCTTAGTTCTCCATCTCTTCTGTTGCCTCTCCCTTATTTCACATCTCCTCTCCTTTCTATTCCCCATCTCTTCTGTTGCCTCTCCCTTATTTCACATCTCCTCTCCTTTCTATTTCTCCATCTCTTCTGTTGCCTCTCCCTTATTTCACATCTCCTCTCCTTTCTATTTCTCCATCTCTTCTGTTGTCTCTCCCTTATTACACATCTCCTCTCCTTTCTATTCCCCATCTCTTCTGTTGCCTCTCCCTTATTTCACATCTCCTCTCCTTTCTATTTCTCCATCTCTTCTGTTGCCTCTCCCTTATTTCACATCTCCTCTCCTTTCTATTTCTCCATCTCTTCTGTTGTCTCTCCCTTATTACACATCTCCTCTCCTTTCTATTTCTTCATCTCTTCTGTTGCCTCTCCCTTATTTCACATCTCCTCTCCTTTCTATTTCTCCATCTCTTCTGTTGCCTCTCCCTTATTTCACATCTCCTCTCCTTTCTATTTCTTCATCTCTTCTGTTGCCTCTCCCTTATTACACATCTCCTCTCCTTTCTATTTCTCCATTTCTTCTGCTGCCTCTCCCTTATTTCACATCTCTCCTTTCTATTTCTTCTGTTGCCTCTCCTTATTTCACATCTCCTTCCCCTGGTCCCCTATCAATCTCATAGAAGGGCTCCACACTAAAGACATCCATGGAAATAGACCATCAGTATGACTCAGATTAGAGGCCTAAAAATGAGAAGTGATGCCTGAATTGCCAAACTTAATTGGCGATGCATACATTTGGATGTGCGCCGGGGAAATCTCCACCGATTTAGATGAACATTGTAAGCACATTACTTACAAACTGGCAGCTCTAAGCCTGACATTAAGCGTGACTACTGATGTCACACGGCAACAAGGACAACTCGGCTTCGGAGAAACATTAGAGCTACTGGCTGCTGAATAATACATCACAGAATCTAAAATCACTTTGGGCAATAGCCTTCAAAGGCCACGATGAATAATCTTACACTTGTCTGATAAAAGAGAAAGTAAGAGAACAAGGCTGAAAGAGCAATAGATGGAATAAAACCCAAAATAATTATGATGTAGATAATGAAAGAGGAAAGAAAGGAAGTAGAATCATTGTGGTGACAAAGGCAAAAAGATAAGAGAAATGGAAGAGAGGTAGAGAACATGACAAATTTCAAGATGATTTCCATAAAAAGGAACCATTAATAAAACATGGATAGCAATCTTGAATTTGATGGATATCTTAAATAAGATGATGAAGAAAAAGCAAAAATAGATACCTACCTAACAGCATTTTTGAGAAGATTTCTGGGCATGTTGATGGAATAGGGAGTGTGAGTTTGTTGACAGCGATGCCATACGCTACAGCCAGAGTGTCAATACCTTTGTAAGGGACCTCTCCCGTCAGTAGCTCCCATAACAGGATCCCAAAGCTGTAAATGTCACAAGAAAATAAACAAGAAAATCAATATTATGAAAACTCTGGAGATGATCATCGTGACATATCTGTAAATAAATTGTGAACGATTGACACATTGACATTTATACCATAGCCTTGCTCACACTACTGCCCCACCATATATTTACCTTGTGGAAATCAAATATTGAGAATTCATGACTTTTTTTCCCTTCAATATTACAAAATAATCAAGAATGCTTTTATTATTCCAGCAAACAACTCTTAGGAGTCTTTAATGTGCCAATCAGCTACAAATCATTAAGCACACCTCAAGAATTCACAGGGGACACATATGAAAAACATATATATTCACTCATTAGAATATACAATGTTTACACTCCAACTGTCAAATGAATATACATGACAGGTTAGAAAATAGAAACTGATGTAGGATTATGTGCCTGCCATTTGTAAGCATGTTCATGGGCAAGTTTTCTGTAGGTTATTTTCTGGAGAAAAAAAAATCAAATGTTGCCATTCTGTCCACCCACTAACACTAAAGATTAAATACAAAACTACGTTTAAATTCATCATTCTTTCACATTCAACATAATACATAACACATGTTGACAGATAATGCACAATCAAAAGATAAAAGGAAATTTTAAAAAAGCACCAAACTTAAAAGTTCAACAAGAATCAGAACATTCAGATTGCATCTGCAACATCCATAAAGTATACCACACACTCACAAAACCTTTTAAACAAATCCTTGTTGACCACACAAATTTCCAATTCACATACATAACATACATAGTACATACATTGAGAGAAAATATTAGGGGGCCGGTGTAGACTGTGGGCAAAATATAAATGGCTGTGAAGAAGAAAAAAAAGTGTCATGAAAAAAAAAATCGAGAGCAAGCAAACATTCGCATGTTAGGAAAAATTCTACTCGACTGTTGGCCATTGTACTGGTGCCCATCTCCATATTCAATGTAAGTGCAGTGACCAGGTCATATTTCCAATCTCGCGAATCCTCCTTTTTTTCTCTCTTCTTCTACTTAAAGAGTGCCGTCCATTTGATTGAAATGTTTACAGTAAGCTATTTTTGTGATGCGCTTGCTCTGAGCATGCCTTTTCGTGATTCAAATTAGATTTGCACTGCCTGTTCTACTGAACTGCCCAACCGCAAGATTTTCTCTCACGACACGTACGACTAAATCTACATGAATGACATGTCAGTTTTTCCTTGTCAGGTAAATGTATACAGTGCTTATTTATCCTCTATCATCGCTTTTATTCTTGAATCTTATGTCAGGCTATGTTATGTTGTTGAAGAAATCCATCTCATATTATTTTACACCAAAGTTGCTTTGCCTTAAATTTCTCCCATTTTGTTATTTTCTTATCATTTCGCTACAATTCTTTTATAGTGATACAAACAATATACATATTGTAGGAGTCTGAACACATTGTAGTCTAATCTGAAGGCAGGGTCACATAAAGGGAGTTCAGAATATTAATTATGATTAATTTCCAAAATATATCAGATTTAATTTCCAGAAATTTAAAGATACTTACATGTACTTGTTCTGCCAATGACACGACAATCCCTTTAACAAATATTTCAATCTTTAATTTGTCTTTAGTCTCTTTAGTACCCATGTACTACATGTACTGTTAATTGCATCTATTTGATCTATTACTTTCATGCATATAATGAGCATTGATCCAGAATAAAGCCAAAGACAACTATCATTTCACAAACCGACACAACCATGGATAATTGCTTCATTGAATACGCACAGACATCAATCCAAATATATTTTTAGGCAACATGCATTTCTGTATAAAATTGAATATCAGCATGACACATAAAGACTTAGCTAACGAGGGTGGGGGAGGGGCAAAACCTACCCAAGCCCCTCCCCCTTTCAGACCCAAGTAGCATATATTGTACACGAAAGTATAAATTCAGAATTAACCCCAAAATATGCCCTTCTGCTCCATTTTTAAAACTCAAAAGTCACCCCAATAAGGTCATGACAATTATTATGCTTTGTAATTAAAATTTCAGAATGGTGCCCCCTCCCCCTTTCCTAAAATCATTGAATGTACCCTTGCATTTATAAACTGTACATGTACAAGTGTCTGTATAGCTGGTGTAACGCCTACGTTGCCAGGTTGGATTCATTGATTCCCTGTTTAACAAGATTACAAGACGAGGGATAGAAAATTAGAATTATTCATCAGGAATCAAGCAACTGATGGAACTGACAAGGTATCAATTGACTGGATATTTAAAAGCTTACGATGCTAATGCACGAACTCAATGACTATTGATGCCATTAAGCTCTACGACTCTAAGTCTCTATGGCTGCGTTCATGCTTAAATTTTGAAGGCAGAATGAGCGATCTGAAACGCTCATCGTAAACGCTCATCGTGATCGCAGTTCCACGATGTAGTGTTCATGCTTACTTCTCTGGCTCTTCTCTGGCTCCCCAGGCAATTCTCCGTGTGTGGCCTTAATTGGTCTTCCAGCTGGATTCGCAAACCTTCACTGTGCATGCTACGTAGACCCACTTGAGGTCAGTGCGTTGACCCCATTTAAACGCGTTTACAAATTGTAAACGCATCTTTTTGTGAGTTTACCATCGGCGATCATGATCGCTTTTTTTCGGTGATTCTACAAAAGTGAGCATGAACGCAATCGTGTTTTAAACTAAACGCGTAACAGATGCCTGATTCTGGCCGTCAAAATCAAGCATGAACGCGCCCTATAACTGCCAGTAATCTTAGGGTGCGTTTAATCGACACTTTTTCACCCTAAAATCACGGTTTCTAAAGACGTTTAGTTTAAAACGCAATACGTTCAAGCGATTTTTTCGTCGGTCGTAAAAATAAACGTGTTTGAAAACACAAACATGAAACGCTGAAAAAGATGCGTTTTGTATCATGATTCAAAAGAATCACGGTCGCTAAAATTCGATTGAACGGACGGAGTTCTCAATCATGATTGTATGACGAAGCCTCTTCCGGTTTGGGAAAAACCGCGCGCCCGCTTTGCATGCAATTTGCGTTCACTATACCATCGTGGCCTGTTCCGTTATGTTATTCCTTGTTTTTCCTTCTATCATTTTTTCTTTCTGTCTTTCCTTATGTTATTCTTTGTTTCTTCCTTCTATTCTTATGTTATTCTTTGTTTTTTTTCCTTCTATCACCTTTTCTTTGTTTTTATCATTCTATCATTTGCTCTTTCTGTCTTTCCTTATGTTATTCTTTGTTTCTTCCTTCTATTCTTATGTTATTCTTTGTTTTTTTCCTTCTATCACCTTTTCTTATGTTATTCTTTGTTTTCATCATTCTATCATTTGCTCTTTCTGTCTTTCCTTATGTTATTCTTTGTTTCTTCCTTCTATACTTATGTTATTCTTTGTTTTTTCCTTCTATCACCTTTTCTTATGTAATTCTTTGTTTTAAGCATTCTATCAATTTCTCTTTCTGTCTTTCTTTATGTTATTCTTTGTTTCTTCCTTTTATCATCTTCTCTTATGTTATTCTTTGTTTTTATAATTCTATCACTTTCTCTTATGTTATTCTTTGTTTTAATCATTCTGTTACTTTCTCTTTCTATCTTTCCTTATGTTATTCTTTGATTCTTCCTTCTTTTACCTTCTCTTATGTTATTCTTTGTTTTAATCATTCTATCACTTTCTCTTTCTGTTCTTCCTTATGTCATTCTTTGTTCCTTCCTTTTTTCACATTCTCTTTCTGTCTTTCCTTATGTTATTCTTTGTTTCTTCCTTCTATTTTTATGTTATTCTTTGTTTTTTCCTTCTATTACCTTCTCTTTTGTTATTCTTTGTTTCTTCCTTCTATTCTTATGTTATGCTTTGTTTTTTCCTTATATCACCTTTTATGTTATTCTTTGTTTTAAGCATTCTATCACTCTCTCTTTCTGTCTTTCTGTCTTTCCTTATGTTATTCTTCGATTCTTCCTTCTTTCACCTTCTCTTATGTTATTCTTTGTTTTAATCATTCTATCGACTTTATCTTTCTGTCTTTCCTTATGTTATTCTTTGTTTCTTCCTTCTATCACCTTCTCATTCTTTGTCTTATTATTGCGATCTATGCTCAAAACAGCAGTCGACAGTCGGCCGTAAACAATTCCAGAAAGCGCGCGCCGAAGTTCCTGGGCCATACTGCGCAGTGTGATGCGCAGTGGTTTGGCTCGCAATGAGCTAGAATCAGCGTTGATGAAAAATCGCTTGAACGCAAACCGCAGTGACCTTGCTTTTTGTAACGGCGTTTTGAATTTGATTCATGTTTGTGATTCTAGCTTCGAAAATTCGATTGAACGCACCCTTAAGCTACATGTACGTTGTAATGTGGTTTGTAGTTCTGAGTACGAAAATTCCCCCAGGGACTTCATTAATTCATGAATAAAATAAATTTTGCCAATATAAATAGCAGATGTGCCAAAACAAATGTTTGTTATTCATTATATTTGTTCATTCAGAGATGCATTTATCACTATCTTATCTCAAAACAACATCTGAATACTTGAATAGAAACCCTTCGTTCCAAATGATAACCTATTATGCAGGGCTCAACATCAACAAGGGCCCAGTACACATGGTCCCCCGAATTTTAACTCTGGACCCCCCAAAAATGAAACTGGAACAGGGGGGAGGGGGCATGCATTCACATTAATACATACTGGTACATATTTTTTTTTATCCAGACCCCTCGCTAAAAGAGTTAGTGTGAAGAGCTGTTCAATGTGCCTACTACGTACATGTACAGTAGGCCACAATAGAAAAGGACTAGAAATCAATCTGAATTCACATTCATGGTAATCTTGTATCAATTTTTAATTGTACAAATGTTTAATCTTCTTTAAACCACTATTCTTTTTATTCTACCTTATGGGAATTAAGAAGAAACATCAGAGAGATGTACAAAAACCTAATGAAAACTGCTCATTTTCATGATCTTTTGATTTTCCATTACTGGTATTTCTTGCTTGT